GGGTGGGAGACCACCAAACCTTAGATCGATTCGTGCAGTGAACGGAAGACCTGTGAGTCGCCACCTTGAAAGTATCATCTTGTGTACCTGCCTTTCAGGGTGTGGATTGGGCTGGACTCCTCATAACCCGGATGCTACAAATTTCTAGGATTCAAAAGGCGACCCCTCGTCCTGACAAACTTCCTTCCAAAATTCCAAAACCATCTCATTCTGAGCCCGGGCACGAACTCTTGGCCATCGCGCCTGGCAAAGGCTCCACTCAGGGCTTGAGCTATGCAAAGAGGATGCCAGAACATGAAACCTGCCCGATTTCTCAATGCTCAGGTCCCATAGTCAGAGCGTGACATGCTAGAATACCAACCCAACATATGCACAATCTAATATAACCCTGGAAAAAGGCTTGCTCACCCGGCCTTGCGTCCTGGAAACCCTTGATAGGGCCAGCCCGGCATTCCACCATGTTAAGCCCAAATTATCCTACTGCAAAACCGGATCACTACTGCAAGAGGTAGAAGAACAACGCCCAAAAAGCGTGCCAGATGCTACACCTTGAACGCCCCAAACTCAAGTCAGCACTTGACGTGGCTTAGGCCTTGTCCTGGAGAAGGCATCTCGCCAAACACAGCCTATGCAACACGAATTCACTTGCTCGGTTTGACCCGGGGTTTCAGGGCAGTTTCGAACAGAAATTTGCGAGGGCGGAGGCTACAATGTGCGGATAAGACTCCGACATACTTCCACTTCTTCCAGTGTGAGTATAAGCAAGGAATTTCTTTCGAAACCCGACAACATTTTGCTCAAAGCTGGGAGATACGCTGAAACGTCTGGGAACGAGCTTCCGACAACGCACAATTTCTAAATAGTCCCATCGTACTGTGCTGATCTGAACATAAGCACTACGATGCCCCAAGCGGCCTGGAAACATCTGAAACCCTGAACCCTAAACCCCAAACAACCCGTAGTCACCTGCGCGCCTTGCCACCCATCTTGTCTTTGCCTTTGTCTTTGCCTTTGCCTTTGCCTTTGCCCTTGTCCTTCCCTTTGCCGTAGCCTGACAAAATCGAGCTCTGCATGCTGAATTTATGATCTGTCCCAGGATAGACAAGTGTGTGCCAAAAGTTACTTGTTGCTGCTCTTGACATAGCACGTATGTTTGCTATTCCATCATCTACCTCCAGCCTTCTAATTCCAAGAGATTGTTCGATGTGGAGCCAAATTGGTAGCCTACTTCAATCGAGTTGCACCACTGGAGCTCCTTCGCACAGCAGACATGTCAAGGCTTACGTGTCAGTGCTGCATCACACTACGACGTAAGCAACATAATGCAGAACCCAAACCTAGCGACAGCGTCAACGAATCCAGAAAATCTAAAAAATGCGCTGGGCAACTCCTCCCACTCCTCATCCATCATTTCACTCCGGAGCTATAAGAGTCGGTCCAGGTGTTCCACAACCCTAAACTATGCTCCGTGCCTTTGAAGCCACCCTTCATGGGCCCAGGCACTCGCAAGCTTGCTTGGCCTTCTGTGGGGAATCATCTTTTACATGCGTGGAGCTTGGCTTGACTGGGTCTTAACATGACCGGGTTGAGAAAGAACGGACGCAATTTGGGCTTGCGGTATGAACATGTGTTTTAGGGATTTAGGGTCGTTTGGTGGAGTCTCGTTTTGCCTCATGCTGCGGCGCCAAAATCAGTAAGGGCTACGGGAACGGTGCTGAGGGACGCGGAATGGTCTAAATTCCCTAGATGGGACTTCTCTCATGTGTTGAAGCCTGGAACCTTACTCTTGGCTGACTGGGCCACCCCCAGCCTTCTGCAGCCGTAGGGTGGCCTCTAAGCCTATGATGCCACATGTGAGAATCCCGCATGATCCCATCCAAGGCCCACATCTTCAGCACTGGCCGTAAAGCTTAACCCCAATCCGAAGGCTGACACTTCCTTCTCTGAACCATATCGGGTTGATGATGGTTGATGGTTTAGGAAATGAATTGAGGACGGCGAAGCAATCTAGTTCCCTGCATAACAAAGGTGGGATTTGGATGATTCGACATCCCTACATCCTAAATCCTCAGCCCTAACAATCACCTTTCTAAGCCACACCAGAATGGCAGGCCTGTGGCTTTGATGCTGCAACCATCCCGTATCAGCCGCTGCAGAATCTTCGCGATGTTGCTCACATCATCCATGCCTACCACACGGTTTAGGAATTTGGTGAGCTCTAGACACTCTAAGCCTCGTCTGAGACTGGGCTTCTGGGAAGGTCAAGCTGCCAAGGCCCGATTTAAGGCTTCAAGATGTGTGTGAGGATCATGATTTTCCCTTCATTCTGTCTGAGGTTCGAATGGTAAAGATTGCTGTCGTTGGAAAAGGCTCTGAAGGACACCAACATTTCTGGAAACCATAGATACGCTCACCCAAACCCTGATGCATCAACAGCCTACTTCCCTAAGCGGCAAGCTACTTTCACACCAGGGGAATGCTTCAGCCAGTGTCCCCAAACCAGTATATGATTCCTGATATGCAACCGGTTTCCAAGGCACCTAAGTGATGCTGCCCAGCAAGTGGCATCCTGCAGGTCGAGGCAGGTTGGAGAATGAAGGTGTAGGGATTTGGTCAACTTTCGAGAAGAAGTGTATCTCTTCAGCGTCTTCTTTCAGGAGACTTTCGCGGAGCCTATTTTCACATGTGGGTCAACTTGGGGTATCAACTTGGATACCAACAT